TAATTTTAGCTAAGGTACAGCACATCTTCTGTGCACAGCTATAATTCATAGACTCATCTTGGCAACTTTGTAGTTTAAAAATGCAGAATTATCATACTCCAGAGTCACTTAGGCGAGATGGGCAGTGTAGGAATGTGCCAAACAAACAAACAAACAAATATCATATTAATATATAATTCACAATTTTGGAAACCAGTGAGGGTTATTATGCTTTAAATCCACCACTTTAAATCAGATAGTTTTTTTACAACTATCTTTGGAATAGAAAGGTATATGCAAAATATTGATTTTTCTACCAAACCTCTGATAACCACAATCTTAAAAAAAAAAAATCAAAAACCAAAACCCCAACTACAAAAAATTATCTTACAGCACCACCTTGTGCTTGAACTTGTAGAAACAAGTGAAGAATGCTCCTTTTCCCCTACTGGCAATTAAGCACTGAAGAAAACTAATTAATTTAGTTCAAGTATCCTGTTGCATGAATCTACTACATAAGAAGTATTAGGAAGAGCTGGGATTGTACGGACAGCCACTGAGATAAAGGTTGCTTCTTTCTTTCTTCACTGCTTCTTTGGTATACAACAACAACAACAACAAATCATGTCAATGACCAGATAATAATACAATTCACAATTCCCTTATTATGTTTTATCTCTGAAGGAAACTCTGAGTTTTGATGATGTAACCCCTTCTCCTTTATCACTGGAATAAGGATCAAAACAGTTGCATTACATTTCTGAAATCTTAAAAAGCATATGTTTTGCTCCGTAAAAATATCCAAGATCCTGTCAAAAAAGGGCTGAAAGTTCAATATTATGCCTCATCATACTATAATTGCATCATTGGCCACACCCATGCAAACTTTGCTGGACATGTCTTGTCGTGAAAGTGCTTTTTCTACCAGCTGCAAAATCTGTGCCATAGGTTATTACTGCCTGAGTTCTAAGTTCTGCTTAGGTATAAATGTTAAGTCTAAATAACAACTGAGAATTGCAGTGTTCCATAGCTTATTATTAACCAACAAGAAATGGAACTGGAGGGATACAAACCCTCTTTTTTAAATGTCTTCTTTTAAGGAAGACATTTAAATCATATCATATGTGAGCAGTATAAATATAGATGACAGCTAGGTAGCAATAAAGAACTTTTTGTGTCGGTTTCTTACCATCTAGTGGTTTTCTGAAGTTTTGCAGACTGCATATAATGTGCCTAGTACCAGGCTCTTTTCAGTTCTCACTAATATACCATGCTAACCATTTCTAAGGGATGGCCTATGTTGTGTTCCCTCTGTCTTGTCTCCAGTCCATTATGGAGGCAACTTCAATTTGTGTTTAATGCTTCCAATTTAAAGGAGTATTTCCTTCCACCCCCAGTAAAAAAAGTTGCCAGAGACATAATCTACAACTAACAACTCATCAATGAGTTGTTGATGATGCACTTACAAGTTTGGATCTGCCCAACTCCTGCTGGCCATTTTAGGCTGCTGCAAATATGCCCCCTTTCCCCTGGGCACTGACCCCCCCCCAGGCCATTTTGGCTTGAGTTATAGGGAAGACTAGGCATCTGGATTTTGCAAAAGCATCTGCCTGGAATGTGATAGCCAAGCATGATGCAGCTGCTCACATACTCAGGCACAGTACTTTTCTGAAAACATGGTTAGACCTGATTTTTAAACTCAGATTTAATGCATATTTGAAATATCTGTGTTTTAGAAACAGGAATAATGGTGCCTCAAATAAATGTGTAAAATTGTTCCACTGTTTTGCTAACAAGGGGTTTTGAGTGGCCATAATGTTGCTCTTTTTATTGCTTGAGGGAGCACTGGTTTTTGTGTGGTCCAAAGATTACTTTCTGGTGCTATTGGCTATTGGTCGCAGTGCTGCTCTTCCCTTCTTTATTGTTCCTATTCACTTTGCTCTACATTATTCAATGGTGCCTGTTAGTTAAATGACAGGTTGCATATGTAATGGAGTGCTGCATAGTAAATAATCTGAAACTGTCCATTGTCAGTCCAGGGATGAAGATTCCTTTCAATTAAATCATTGGGTCTGGCATGCATGTACTGTATGTATTGTAATTTTCCTATGGTCATCGTGGTTTTTTATTGTTTTATTGTTTCTCCAATTGTTTTTCAAAAACTGTGACAAATAAGCCACAATAAAAATCACCTTTATTTTCAATGTATATTTTTCATCCTACATTTCATCCGAGATTTCAACAAGTCTGTAGAAATATATTAGCTTGTCAAAAACTATGTACTACTTTTCTGAAAGTGTGTACAATTGAAAAGTCAAAGTATAAAAAGCATAGAGAAGTAAATAATAGATTAATCAGGTAAAATCAGCACAAAGCAGCAGCAATATCTGTGTAAAACTGTAAAAAAGAATAAGTAATCAGAATAAAATGACCATCTCTGCTCAAAATAAAAAAAGAATACAGTAGATCTGAACCTATTTAATATAATGGTGGAAATTGAGTTTAAACATATAATACGTACTAAAGAAAGGATATAGAAATAAGTTATTTGATGATAATGAATATTTTAGCCAGATATCACAAATTTATATTATAGAGATGTACAGAAGCATCACAGCAAGCTCCTATTCAGAAATCCAGAGTAATGCCTGTATCCTGCTACATTTAATTGGCATGTCATGAACATTTGCACTTCATATTGATAAAAGTAGCATCAGAAGAGAGCCACACATTTAATTTAGTCACGACTTACATTGAAGCTGGAATGCATACATACAATCAGTTGCCTGATCTGTACATATGCCAGAGTTTCCAACAGTAATCTGTCATTCTTGCATCAAAAAGGAGAGCAATCATATCCTTTGAATAATATTCCTGTTCCAATGTTTATTGTAATGAAATTAAACTTAAAAAAAACTTATAAATTTGCTTTAATCCCCAAACCAATTTCAAAAGTAAAGACTGAAATCTAGAATTGGCACTGCTATAAAAAATTAAGGATGACAGCATCTTTTGATTTTGGCAGATACAAACGGTATATAAAAGCATGCCAACTGTAAGAGATAATTCAGTACTACAGTAATTCAATTGCACATTGCTGTCAAATGTTGCTACACATTAATTAGCAAGTATAAACTGCTATCCAATTATACTGAATATTCAAACAATCATTTAAATACTGGAAAAGTTACCAAAAGTCCTTAATACTGAAGATAATTGTGGAGAACACATTGATTCTAGTAGTCAGCAAAAATTTTAATAGTTGATTATTCCTCCCAAGGCTCTCAGTTGTTAAATGGCTCTTTGCTGTTTGTCTAGAATGTTCCTGATCATTTCACTAGATATTTACTTTAGAATAACAGAAGAATAGATTTCTTGTATGGGGTGAATGCATTCATTGAGTCACCTATCAAATAATATCATGTGTTAATTATGAATTATAAAACAGCTAAGTTCTATTAAGTTTACGGTTCTAACTCTGGATCCAATTTATTGGAGACCATAGTGGACTGGACAATCTAAGTTAGCATTTTTGATTCTCTTTCTTTCCTGCTATGCTCGCAAATTCAACAAATCTTTTGTAGATTTTCTCCTGCCTGGCCTTTTATTTAGAGAAGGAGGGGGGGGGGTTGCATGACTTTGTACACCACCCCTTTCTTTGTTCTGTATGCTGCATTCTAAGTTTTTCTTTCTGCTTTTGAAGAATATCTTGCCTTGCTTTTTTTTAATGTGGCCAAGTAATTATATCTTTTATAAAGTTATTTAGATGCTCTAAACCTAGATTTCCCCAAATCCTCTACCAACCTGCCTGTTCCCCCGATTTACAGCTGGCATGCCAAAAACAAGGCACCACTCTTCACCATTTGTATAATTTGCAATTAAGTTTCTGGGCTTGTTAAGGGCTTAGATTTCTAGAAAATAAAAATGATGGTTAACTAAAGAAAGAAGACTAAGTGGTGAGAAGTTTGTAGGAGGTCTTGGAAAGGATGGTAAGAAGGATCCTAATTAGGTTGCTTTCAATGGGTGCTTTGTGATGGGCCACATCTAATGTATGGCAGCTGCTTTATTTTGTAATAGTGTCTGCAGTTAAAATTTTGAACAAATTTTACCTCCCAAAATTTGGATGCTGTTGTTCCAATTTCATTTAAAATTTTCTTGCATTCCTGCCCCAAATATTGNGGAAAGGATGGTAAGAAGGATCCTAATTAGGTTGCTTTCAATGGGTGCTTTGTGATGGGCCACATCTAATGTATGGCAGCTGCTTTATTTTGTAATAGTGTCTGCAGTTAAAATTTTGAACAAATTTTACCTCCCAAAATTTGGATGCTGTTGTTCCAATTTCATTTAAAATTTTCTTGCATTCCTGCCCCAAATATTGTTTTCCTGGATTTTATCAATCTCAGTAACAATACATAAAGAATGCCAGGATTTCATGCCTGATAAAACCTTTTATTTATCTTTAATGTCACTTTGAAATAGTATAAAACAGCCTGTGGTCTGCAGGTACATTCAGGGATAATCTACCCAAATTCATTATTTCCATAAATATCCATATCTATGTGCTTGTCCTTCTGACAGCCAATATAACCCTTTGGTTATATATTTGGTTAGGATATAAGTGCAATTAACTGAACTGTGTGAGTTAAGCTCAGGCTATAATACATTCATGATTGGGAATTTCAGTTACCAATATATGGATATTTTTTTACTCTCTGCATCTGTTGAAATACAAAGATCTGGAATGTTGACCTTGACTTTAGAGATGCATATAATTTTGAAAGAAATTCAACAACAACTTGTGAGTCAACCATGCTTTAAAATGAGGCTTGTATAAAAGAAATCTTCCATCCTGTTAGTGAAATTGAAGGAGACCCGTACCAAATTTCAGCTGAGAAGCAAAGTGGATATGAGAAATTCAATGGCAATAGCAGCAAATTAGACTCTTTAAGGAAGGCAAAGTAATTTCTTTTGATTTCCTTCAGCTTATATGGCTTATTTTGTAAAGAAAAAAAAAGTCTGCTTTATTTTTCCCTTGCCGTATCTTCATCCAACAGAGGAATAGTGAACTCCGCTTCTCTCCTCATATCTGGGTTGCACTTGAAACTGGAAGTGTGCTTAGAGGTATCGGTATGATCTGTCTGGCATGCCTAAATTACAGGATGTGAACATAAATAGCAAAATTAACACCCATATTACTAACGGAACAACATTATGCAGCTCTAATATTTTCTTCAATATTTTACATGTAGTTTCTCTTGCTGAGTTGTGGGCAAATTTTAAGAACAGTGTGAAGAAGTCTCAGGCCACCTAAAAAGCCCTCATCCATGTGTTGGGGCACAAGATTTTTTATAAAGCAAAGCCTAATTTCTCTTTTGGTCCCTCATCTTTGTTCTCACCTGCTGGACAGGTCACCCCCAGTGCAGCCTTTTCTGATGCAAATATAGGCAATATGTTGTCATGGAATTAAATAGTTAACCAGTAACTCCTTGATACATTTGAGGGCTGGTCTGATTTAGGAGTTGACCTGTTTCAGGGACTAAGGATGAGGGGAATGAAATAAAAGGAGAAACCATCCCCCCCCCTACAACTGGGAGAGATAGAGAAAGATATAAACTAGGAGCATACCAAGTCAAGCCCTAGTTTCTGTTAATCATGGTTTGTTGAATATACAGAAATACCTGGGTTTCTGCTCCACAAAATAATAAACTACCGATGCACAATATTTGAATCTCCCAAATATCTCTAGCTAGAACTGCAGGCAGCTATAATTTACCAATTATATCTATAACATGTCTTTGATTATATATTAGGCTATTGGGCAAAATTTACTAATTGCAATTGCTGGGCTCATACAACTAAACTAAAACCAAGAAAACTATGTTATGGCCTAGCATGATGTATAATTGTAATATTTTAACTGATGTCTCTCTTTCTGATAAATAGCTGCAGTATAACCTCTATTAACATTTAAGCCAAGTCTGCCTAGCTGAATCTGTGCATTTTATGCAACCTGTGGATAAAAACAGTTTGCATTCTAGTCTCTTCCAACCAAAGGACGTCAGTATTTATTTTTTTTGAAATAGTAATAAGTTTTAGAAAGAAATTGTCAACTTTACAACAAGCATACCCAAATTCCTAGTCCCAAGCTACCAAATGTTTTGAAAGGAGGAAGAGGTTTTGTACAGTAGTGAGACATGTTCACTAGGAAAATGTTAGTTTGCAGGTGATAAATGTTAGGTTTGCCTTCTGTTCCAACATCATTTCTCATTCCCTACATGGGACTATTGGAAAAGATACTTAGACCAGGGCTTTTCAACCAGTGATACGGGTACCACCTGTGGTACATTGGCACCTGGCAGGTGGTACGCGATCATCCTAGAAAAGTGGTAGCGGGGGAGGGGAATGAGCTGAACCGGTGGTAGCATCGCACAAGCCTGAGCGAGAGATGGCTGGAGCTGCAGGGCTGTCAGGGCTCAGTGGAAGCGCCAGGAACAGTGCCGCTTTCCAGCTGGAGCTCGGCGCTGATCCTGGTGCTTCTGCTGAGTCCAGAAGAAGCGGCGATCCAGCTGGAATGTTGCAGCATCTCCAGGGTCTTGTGATTTACATTCAGATGCTTGGCAACTGATTCATATTTATGACGGTCACAGTGTCCCAGGGTCATGTGAAGTGACCAAAACCTGCTGCAACCACCCAGGAGGCGGGGGGGGGGGAAATAAAAACCAAACACACCCCACCCCACCCCCGCTGCCAATCCTCAACAGAAATGCTCAAAACAATGAAAACCTCGGACAGGAGGAAGAGTGCTGCTGGGTGGGCAGGCAGGTGTCTTGCTCGGCTGTGCCTTGGGGGGCACTTTTTTCAGTGCCATTGTAACTTCAAACAGTCACTAAGCGAACTGTTGTAAGTCGAGGACTACCTGTACTTTATCACTTTTTTTCTTTTTGGGGGGCGGGTCATCAAGTTTTTGACACCTTGCTAGGCGACTGGTGGGACTCGGATATTGCCATATCCTAAAAGTGGTACAATGGGTGAAAAAGTTGAAAAGCCCTGGCTTAGACCACACTGTCATACTATGGAACTGAAAAAACTTAGAAGGAAGGAAGGAAGGAAGGAAGGAAGGAAGGAAGGAAGGAAAGAAAGAAAGAAAGAAAGAAAGAAAGAAAGAAAGAAAGAAAGAAAGAAAGAAAGAAAGGCAATTATAATTTATCATGAGGCCTTCTTCAATAGCTAGGGAAAAGGTTAGATTCCTAGCATCCTTCATCCCAAGAGAAAATTACTCTTTCTGAAAAGAATCAGCAGCAAGGACATCGTTCATGGTCCCCTGACATGTGTGCTAATAAATATGGTGCAAACCTAGAACAGAAAAAAAAGGATTGTTTACAAGGTTCACTTACTGCTCCTTCTGCCTCAGCCAATTGGCATGCCAGAAGGGAAAGCAGCTGCGAAAAGGATGGTCTTTTTCTGGAGTCCAAAGCCCAGCAGGAACACAGTAGGATGTATCTGCCAAAACAACATAAAGGAAGGAAGAGGGGAAAAATGCAGAGCTATTTTCCCAGCATTTTCTATATGACAAGAGCAACGAGAGATATATATGTCACAAATATTGTGGTATTATGCAGAGTTAAAAGAACCTAGGATATGAAGAACATTCATTTCATACAGGATTGATAAATGTTTACAAATATGAAGCTTCAAAAAAACAGATTATTGA